ACGAGCATGTTCACCAACATGGCGGCTAGCGAAAATTGCTGTACAATGAGTTGCCTAACGTTAAAATAAACAGCGCAACCACAAACCGATTTTTAAATAATTAACCATCAACGTTACCCCAATAGAGGTAATTTGTGTATTTTTAGTTTGACGATCGGACAACAACAAATGTAGTTAATTAAGAGTCGGGCAAAAGCTGCTAATAGTAGCAATAATTAAAATTAACGAGCGTTCTTTCCGGAGACCGCCAACGGTCGGCACCGGTTTGAATAACTTCGTTTTGCTTAATTTTCTTCCTTGGGAAAACACGCTAATGAAATGAAACACTAATTGCGCAAAATTGCGGAAGATTTGTACAATTCAGACGTAACCTCAACATTTTCACGTTGGACTAGATATATTGTGGTGGGAATTTACATAATATGCAAAAAACTTAACTGGAAATCAGCAATAAAAACAAAAAGAAAATCCTCAGAACTTTTCTTTCAAGATTTTCTTTATTCTAAACTTTGGTAAAGACAAAAGAAATTCATTTAATAAAGTAGAGAACAGAATTGGTTAGCTTTGTGAAGTCTGGATATAGTTGAGGGTAGTTTTGTAAACCGTCAAAGTTGAAATTCAATTTCGCGTCTTATTTTTATGCAAAGCGACTTTAAACACACTGTACTCGTAAGTCTATAAATGTGTATCAGTGAATGGAGTTGAATTGGAAATTGCTTTGCAAGAATAAGTAGCATAACCCCTTAGCTCCTTGCTAAGGTTGAAAGTTGAAAGTTAGGGGTTGAGGATGCAAACCCAAAAGGGTTGTAAAAACTTTTCGAAACTTTGTCGCACTTTTTTTCCTCGCTGCGCCGCTGTGTTCACTCCTCACTTATTTTATTTGTGTTCTTTTTTGCGTCATGTTTAGGTCTGTTGTGAACGCTCCGAGATTTTCGTTCGAGTCGAAGTTGAACTCAAAGACGTGTATACACGAAAAGTTTAAACTTCAGCTCGAAGAACACAAAAGTTCGTTAATTTTTAAAACTCTCGTGGGGCTACTCGAAATGATTTCATTTTTAAATTAAAAATACTCGCGAAAAATTAATTTTATAAATTTATTAAATGAGCCAACGAAAAGAGAGAATATCAGAGTGGAAAAGCAAAAGGATGATAATGGCGGTGTCTTTAAAGACGTTTGAAATGTCGAAAACGTTCGAAATTAAACTTTTATTCATTACTCTTTGAACTCGTTTCAACGCTACGCGACGTAACCGAACTGAAATCGTTCACTTTCAGCTTTATTCTTTTCTACACTCGTTCAGGTGTATAATGAGTTGCATATTTTACGAATTTTTCAACTACCTAGGCTTTTATGAATAATTTAAAACGTTATAACATTTTAACACATAAAACAGGTTATGAGTTAATCTTTTTTTCTTTTAAAAAAAGTGGAGAACACTGGCCGGAAAGCGTCGTCAAACGTTATAAACCGAAAAAAAAAAGTTTTTGAATAAAAATGTAACCAAGCCAATATCAGCGAGTTTTATTACTGCAAGTAAAAATATAAGGCTGGACATAAACGTGTGAATATTTTGACGATATAAATGTCATAAAATTGAGTGCAAGTCGCTAAGAAATTACCATAAATCTAACTTCGTATCAAAATAATTTGAAGAAATTCAAGTTCAAGTAAATGTAGCAACATTCACTATAGTAATTCATGGTGGTCAAACATTGTTGTGTTTGTTGATGAAGGTCAAACTTTTGTTCATCTTAGCTTCAGCACAAGATTAATCCCCTGGCCAGTTTATGCAAGCTGCGGTAACATTAGCCGTAATAGTGAATGTTGGGTTGCATACATCAAACAAGAAAGCAAATGTCTGATGGTCTCTGATCTTCGTGAGAGTTATTTAGGGTGACGAATTAAGGAGAAGAAGGACGAACATTGTCGCATTGCGTGAAGAATGACCGAGTTAATGCGGGTCTCGTGAATCACTGTCTAGAATATCCACTAACTCATACCAACACCAAGCGCGTTTCGTTTCGCTAAACTAACTCCGAAAAATATAGAAACAAACAAAAATTCAGACGAAAATGTGTTTTAGGTTGCCTAAGATACAATTAAAATTCAAACAACGACAAGAATGTGAGAGCAATCTAACTTATTTGAGAATGTACGCAGTTTTCGCATCTTACAACTTGGCAAACTGCTGGGTTTGGGTACGTGACTTCCACTTTCCGACAAGTTGGTCTAATTATTTTGATTAAAGTCTTTTTATTACCGTGTTAGGCAACCAGTAAACCCAAAAACAATCAGAATCACTAGAAACAATCCAATTTCTTTCTTTTACGACTGGTAGACACGTATGCACACATGTAGGTTGTGTTGCCTAAATTTACTTCTTCTATTTCTCTATTCGAGTAGCAGAGTAGCTGAAACCGTTCAAACGATGCTAACACGTTTGCAACACGCTCCTAGCACACTTATAGAAACTTTTTTTGTACAAACTACTCGCACGTGCAATCTGCACGTTTCTTTCAGCCTGTTTACGCGTACGTGATGAAAGTGAAAATGTGAAAATTGTTTTTGTATAAATTTCTACAAAAAAATTAAATGAGAATTATGCACAGAAATAATTATTTTTATAGTCAAAATTAAGTTAATTTCAAAATGATTCTAGTCTCGATAAATTTTAAAGATAACTCGGCTTAGGATATAAAGTTAATCTAATTTTCAGAAAAGATTAGAGATTTAGACCGCGTTGAGGTAGTTTTTCATCGGATTAAAGTCGTTATAAAGTCAACCACTTTCTCAGCCGAGCGGTCTTGGCTTAGATTTCTTTATTTTATATTTTTCGCTTCATTTAATTTCTGAAAACGGCAATAAGCCATAAATTTAATATGTTTTTATGGTAATATTCTTCTCCTTTTTCGTATAGCCTAATTAAATACAGTTTTCAAAAATTTACCAAAGTGTGAAAGTGAGAAAGAAAAAAGTAACAAATAAAAATCGTGCGGTTATTATTCTTTGCTTTGGTTGCTTTGTGATTTAAGGACGAGAAAGCAGGCGCTCAGAGTTGTCTTTTCGATTAAATCTCGACATCCTCCAATGAATAAAATAAAAATAAAATAAAGCTTCAGGCGTTCAGAATCAAGACTTTTCGCACGACTAGAAACTGTCAAGGGGGTTTTCATCTTCAACTTTTATTTCGTAGATAAGGTCAAAAAAGATAAGAAATAAAAGAATTAAATAAAAAGTTTTCTTTAACTATTGCATAATAACTCATTTGTGTATTTAATAACTTTATTTTGTAAATTTGCACTAAAACGTCAATAAAATGGAGCAAAAAATTAATAAAACCTTTGACGTTGAATTTACATGTAAAATTGAGAAGGTATCCTTGAGGGATGAAATGAGAGAAATGAGGGTAAAGCCGTAAAACGCAGAGAAATAAATTGAAGGTATCGAACGCTGGGAATAACGAACAGTTGCGATTAAACCTACATCGATAGATGGGGTTTCAGAGAAAAGCGCGTGTGAAAAACGACGCGCGGGCGAAATTAACGGCGCGTTATTGAAATTTTCGCACGTGAGAGGGGTGCTAGTGGTAGTGCCAACGGTGCCAACCCTCATCCACCACATTCACATCCATATTCCTGCCCTACCCTGATCTTCATTCTAATTCGAGTCGGAAAGCTATGAAACCCGCAGGAGTAAAAACGTAATTTAACATTATATACAGTATGCTGTCAATTTCTTCATAAAAAATTTCATCTCATCCCTCTTGCTCTTATTGGTTCATGTTTTTTTTGTGTAAACTTCAAACACACTGTAGGTTTATTTTTGAAGCAAAAAAAAATCAAAAACTTGGAAACCCTTCAACCTCAAATCAATCAAACCTTGCAAGGTGTATTACACAACGAATAAAATATTTATGAAGTTAGTAAACTGCGCATGCGTACATAACAATAATAGACGTACGTTATTGGAAGAACTGAATATGGAAGGTTGACGAGGTGGGGGGAAAGCATCATTTCTAAAAAAAGAAGAAAAATAGTTAAAATTTATGAAATAATTAATTAATCATAAAATTTTTGTTTAAAACAAGTTAAATTAGCTACAGCAAAATGTTTGGGGGCACAAAAACTGCAATCTGATTGTTCTCGACGACTGCAGGCAACTGACGTCTAAAATTGATGGCTGCACCACTCTCGCCGCCATTTTGATAAATCTCAGTTACACTACGAACAATTTCAAACACATAGACGTCACGTAGGGTGTAGTGCACATAACTGCATCAATTGCACTGGCAACCAAAAAATTACAATGTGAAGAAACAAAAAAAACTTAAAATAAGTTATTATACCATATGTTTTTGCAACCAAAAATTTAAGAATCTAATTTCTTTGTTTTTGATTCCTTTGACTTTTTTTAGACAAACTGTATGTAAGACCAATTATCCACATGTACAAAAGTCGTTATTCGTTTGTTATACGCGCTACTGTTTGGTCTACAGCACGCTTGGGTTCAATTTCCAGCCGCAATCCACAGCTATGTAGCTAGTGTTGCAAGTTATGCAACCACACATACCACACACACCAAATGCACTCATTGTATGCTAGCCGCAGCAAATTCGCCGCGAGTGGATTGTGTTACGTGGACAATCCGCAATTCGTTTTTCCGAATTTCGGCCAGACATTTACGGGATAACATTCGGAGCACGTGCGCGTTCATTTTTCTCGATTTTCACCGCCGACAGCGAAACGGCAAGCATCAAGTCTCGGCTTACTTGCCGGTCGGCCCAAGCACGTCGCTAACAACATCAACGATAATAAATAAAATATGATAACAGCTGATATCGGATGATGCCAGATGTAATTTTCTTTACTTCGATAAAAAAAACATAGGAAATAAATAAAATAAATATGAATCAAATCAATATAAAATATTTGATTATTTTTTGTTAAAAAAAATCGAAGCAAATTGCCTCATAATAATTAAACAATTTTTTTCATTCTAGATAATTGGAGCTCAAGATCATTCTGCTGCAAAGAAGATGGTTGCAACGCATCACCACGTGGAGTTGAATCAACGCCATACTTGTATTTCCTTGGAGCTGTGGCAACGCTACTTAGCGGCAGCGCCATCTCTACTTACGGAGCGCACACAACGCACTGAAATGAGTGAGCTATCGGTATCGACCATCGGCAACCACATAACCACTCAAAATTTTCCGCACTTGAACATGCCCACTCAACCGAACGCATAACGAAACTAACAAAAACATGACAATTATCATCAATACAAAATTTTCCGAAATAATATCAGAAACAAAAGAAAAGCAAAATAAACTCGTTGAAAAAGATTTAACTAGTCTTCCTTATAAAAGCAAGTACGGCTCTGTGTCAAAATAAATTCAAAGCAACTCTTTAAATCTTCCCAAAAATAGTCACGCATTCCGTGTGTGTGCGTAGAACACACTGTATCATCTACAATATACAGAGCAAATTTGAATCTTTCGACATTTATTGAATTGCATTATTGAATCTTAGGTTTAAGAAAAGAAAAAACAACAAAAAATGAGAAGATGAAAACACGTATATTCTAAAATTCGTAATTCTAATTAATTAGCGAAACCAAAGTTACAACAAGAAGAAGATAAGCAAAGCAAACAAGTAAACACAAATGTAATCAACAAGTAAAAAAAGCGTAAAAAGTAAAAGCAAAAATAATCGTACGTAAGGAGAAAATAAAGCAGCGACGAAGCATTAGACAGAAATCGGATTGATTAAATTAAAGTATTTAAACATTAAAGTATCGAACTATATTTAGCAGATAGAAACTATTTGAATATAAATATATAAATAAATATATATATAAATATAATTAATTACCTACTTATTACTTAAATATATTCGCAAAATTATCAAGTATGGCGTACACAGATTCAAACAAACAAATAATTGAGTAACGAATATATGAAAGTCTAAATTCAATATGGCGATCGAAGTGCACAAGTGAATAATGTCGACGTTCGTGGTTCATTTGTTTTACAAACGACGCACGACGAGTGAAATAATCGCATTGCACTTGACGCCAATCGAGCATTTAATTAATTAATTGATTAATGCGTTAATTAACTAATTAATTATATATACATGCTGGTTTTGAATGTTCCGAGCGTAATATGAAGCGATCAATATCAACTTCAAACAGAAGAAACAAAGTTATTCCTTGATTAGCAAGAAACGTGTGTGAATTGAGGAATTCATGCAAAACTAATCAGAGAAGATGAAAAAGAAACGGAAAAATGTTTTGTTGCAAAGTTTCTTTTGTGCGTTTTGTTATTATTTGTATGGTTTTATTCTAAGCTAGGCAACCAACCGTACCAGGCACAAAGCAACACACAAAACAATCGAACGAAACCGAACAAAATGTTATTCACTCGAAATCATTATGTCTTATCGGATTTGCAAGTCCGTTTGTTAATTTTCTCACTATTTCTATTTTTATATTAAGCACCAAAGCAATCTGCTATTTTTCTTGCAATTCAATTGTTTCGTATATAACATAATGTTTGCATCGACACGCAATAAGCGAATTAAACAGCTGAAAACTTTAAACACTCGAAACTCGCAACTGGAAACTGGAAATTCGTTAGATGTACGTTCGGAATCGTTCGAGAAGTTCGAGAATTATAAACGAATTACACGCGAATGCAATTTACGAGTAAATACGCACACCAGCAGCACCAAAGCATTCGCGGTTCGTAAAACATTCGGAACAAGAACAAGAGCGAGTGTACGTAACACGCATAACGGATAAGATGGCGGAATGAAGAGACGATAATTTGATAACAAGATAAATGATAAGAGCATGAGACGATACGATGACAAACAGCAGCGCACGAATTCACTTTACGGACGAAACAAGAAAACAAAAGAAGACGGAGATCGCGAGTGGAGTGCAAAAAGAAAATTGAGATGTTTGCATGAGTTAAACTTTTGTTGTGTTGTCTTTGTGTTCTTAACCCAACTCGGACAAATTCTGACAGCATGCTGTTGATAAATTGCGAATGCATGACGTTGCAATTTGCGAAAAAACGACGTAAAGTGACAAAACAATTTTTATATTTTTGAAACATATTTTTTCTAATATAAATGTTTCTTCTGATTGAAGTTTTGAAAGTGAAACGAAAGTTGTTTATAGACCATTGTGAATCATCTATCTCTTTAACATTAACATACTAGGTTAGGTTTTGGGTAGGCAACCAAACGCGCTCGTGCGTTTTTCAGTAGCACTACGAACGTACGGTAGGTTAATTTTAGATGATTATCGCACTCTTCGCATAAGAAATGCATAAGAACGCTTTATTATACATATAATACCACCTATGCCACCGTACTCACACGTGAGGGAAGCCTAACCACACTACTAACATAATCTACAACACCTACTACAATTCGTATAGAAAACCACACTGTAGGTTTTTTTTGTTAGAGTAAAATTTTAATCATTTATACCAATTGAAGCATCAAAAACTATAAAGAGCAATATAAACTTTGAAAAATATATTAGTACGAATATATTTTATGTAATAAATTAATTATTATGTTTTACTGGTTGAAACAAAGCTTCAAATGTGATTTAAAACTTAGAAAGTTATAAATATTGAACAAGAATGATGTAATAGGTCTACATACAGTGTGTTCATAAGATCTATTGCATAAAATTTGCACGTTTCTTTGAATTTAAAGCCAAAAAAACTAAAAAATTACAAAAAACACAGCCAACAACACAAACAGCACATAATTCGTTATTGTAAAGCTTTAATAAACCTTATAACCCAAAAATTTAATTATTAAGTGTTACCGGTTATGATATATGTTATTTTGTCTTGATAATTATAAATAATTGCCAAAATTGTATTAAAATTTATTGCAAAATGTTTCCAAATTGTAACAACGTGACACTCTGTATAATGTTTTATTATAGTGTTAAGTCTCTGTTAACAGTATCAAATTATATAAATTAGTGATGTAATTTGTAAATTAAACTATTCGAATTAGTTGATTTCGATGATATTTATGATAATTATGAAAATTGTGACGATTAAATATCCATTATTTCAAAAAAAATTCATTTTTCTATATCCAATTATTCGCGGAAAAAAAATGGTGTCGCATTAGGTATGCACAATGCATGAATATCAGAATGGAAATAAAATTACGTCATTAAAATTTCAAGCGTTTGTAATTTTTATGTTTGCGCTAGCGGAATGAAATCAAAGCAGAGCGAGCGAAATTTGGCAAAAAAACGCGATACTTATAATTGCAAAAACGCAAAAAAACATCCCATTTGGTTTAATTACAGCCATAAAATAACAAAACAACTTCAAACAATACAGAACGAATGAATATCACAATTTATGTGTAATATGAAGCAATCTAGAAATAATTTTGTCAAATTACAAATAAAAAAAATAAAAAACGGCAGAAAACGTGAAAATAACCTCAAAAGTAAATTTATATTAAAATTTAGCTGTTTATAATTGAACATTTCATGCATTCTGCACATTTTTTAAGCTTGGGTTGCTGGTAATTTAAAATCTAACCTCAAAAACCACCGCAATGCATCCTGTCGCAGGCTTGTTTCACGCCCTAGCGCCCTCAATGCGCACAAAACGAGAAATATGCATATTTTAGAACAAGCACACCACATTCACCGAACACCACCCTATCAAATGTGGAGGCTCACCGAAGAGTGGAACGTGCTCGAATAAATAAAAGCGCTTAAATAAATATAATTTTTAATTTTAATGAAGGCTCAGCCCTGCGACGCGACTTGATTTATGTCTGCCCTCCACGTATTGTGCTTTTTAACGCGATGGGAGGGCGTAGAGGCGATTTCCTATTATCCTCATGAAGGATTTCCGCATTCATAATTTATATTTATATTTCGCGCTGAGAATATTCATACATACTATTATAAGGCTAATCATCACAGTGTTAAACATACAGTATGTTTACTCGTGAATTAATATTAAAATTTTAAATTTTAAATATTTGTCACGTACCTCTAATAATTTGAATTTATAAAATTTAAGCAGAATATTTTTTATGAAAATTAAAAAGAAACACACTGTACGTTCAGTGTGAAAGTTCATCTTTTGTCCACCATCACGCCGCGCCGCCCTGCGCCGGACCACATGACTAAACAAAGTAAACAAAGTAAAGTTTAACAAAGCATGAATCTCATGGCCGCGTGTGCGTCGGAGGCGGTCGAAGCTGGGCGGCTGCTGTGGGGATTGCAGCAGTAAGCACGCAAACCGCGGTCGGTTTTCATTAATATTTAATTTCGCGTTTATCTTGTGCGTAGAATAATGCACGTCCGAATAAATCATCAGCTATTCGCCAACGGAACGCAACCAACACAACACGTCAAGAAATAAACGACTAGCGCCGCAGCCATGCTGTATATTATAATGTCTAATGAAATGAAAATTAAGGAAACTGTTTTGTTTTAGAATCTGTACGCTTTGCTGTTGGTTATTGATATCACAGAGCTTACGGATTCTTAAACAGAATGCTTTCATTACCAACTACCAACGAAGACAGCTGATATAACTTAATAAATTTTCCTAATAGAGGAATTAATATTGATGTTGTGGCTAGCTAAATATTGGGTAATAAATAACCTAACTTCATTAATAACTCCGTCACATCTAAGCCCTTTTATATTTAGGATGTTTAAGTCGCAAAAAGGGCAGAAGGTTCCAGAAGGTACGGACATACTCTCCGGAAACAATAAACCGGAAAAGTTTTACGTTTACGACGCGCGACGTTTGCTACTAATTTGTCCTTATCACTCTTTTCTCTCCTTTTTTCCGAGAAGTCTGTTTAAGGTTATGCTGTCTTAATTTATTTCCGCTATTCCGGTTTTGTGACGCGGTTACAGTTTTATAGGTTAGCTAATAAAATTATATGAAGATACTAACACTATGCGATACTAAACCAACTTGACATAACCTTACCAATTTTTAACAAAAAGCGTCGTCGCGTGTATGATGCACATGGAATGTTGTATTTGCTGCTTTATGTTGCGTCGCCGATATTAAGTAACAAAAGATGTCAGCGAGCCACTGGCCGGCTGGCACGCTGGTGTCGTTAAAAGGAAATTTGAATTTAATGCACGCATCGTACGCCCGCGTGCGCTAACAAGCCTGCGACGGCTCGGAAAATTCAAGTACGACAATAACGCGTCGGACACAGCGGCGCGCAGCCCGAGCGAGTCAACGATGTTGGCAGCTGTGCGCCAGTCAGGGCTACCAACATTACAACGCACAAAGGGGGCTCAACACGCAACGAGAGCCCAACAAAAATCAACCAGTGGCGCAATTTTCTTTTATGTTTCGGCTTTTTTACTAACGTACGCAATTTTTTCAGAGATGGACAGCGCAATTTCTTCCTTTTGTGTAATTTTTATGTTGAATCTCTGTGTTGTAATATAGGCAATGTTTTATTTTTTATAATGTGCAATAAAAGAATACATACAATAACACATCGAAGAAGTCAAAGAAAAAAATTGTAGGTCTGAGAATGAACTTCAAATTTAATATAGTTGCTTAATTTTTTAAACCTATTATACTATTTTTTATAATAAGTAAGTTACTTTTTGTCTACACTCATTTGCAAAAAATATATAACTAGTATCTAGATAATTTTTACATTTCAACCTTCGACTTTTTTCGCTCAACAGTAAAACTCGTAAAGTATTACTGGAAAAGTAACAGAAAGATAGCAGTGAATATCATGAGATTCCCCATCTGAACTCAATTCTCCTCCCGCAGTTCTTCGTGCGTTTAGTATTCTCGCCGTCGTCGACATTTTTATCCCTTTACTTTGCGTCCACGACAAGATGCAATCCAGGCGAACACGCTGCCGTGCGTGTTCCCCCCCGAAAGCGGCGCGGGACGAGTAAGACGGATAGAAACGGTGATGTTTTATTTCACTTTTTCACGCATGAACGACAGCTTGCCAACCGCGCGCAGAGTATATCATGAAAAAGAAGGAAGTCTTTTTCGAGTTTCGGGAGTTTTATCGTCGCGGAGCTACTCAGTGTTTTCAGCAGTGCAAGAAACGCGTCGGAGGAAGGATACATTGAATGTAAGTAGTCATAGCGGACACCCTCGCACGAATTACGGACGTACGTAAATTCCAAGATGGCTGGGCGCGTCAAATAAAGAAAAATAAGCAAAGTTATAAAACAAGTGAAAGCAGCGAAATAAAATAAATTCGTTATCTTGGTACTCGTATATCTATGTTGTTTTTGTGATTTTAAACTCAACATTATGATCCTAGATGTTATTCTTAATTTGCTTTACTTATGAACAAAAGGAAAGTTTTCGCATGAAACAAAAGACGCCGTGGTAGTTTTCTACAAAAAGGAGGAAAAGTATCGCAGGCCGTGCACGTTTCCTACATTTCACACCGTCGCAAGGCAAGACAAGAAGCTTGGAAGAAATTTAATTACGAACGCGACGCACGTTTAAATTTCAATTACTGGAATAAACAAAGCGACAACACAACGAAACACAAAAGAAATACTGTGTAAATACGTAAGTAGATAATATAAATTTTAAACTATACATATTCATTACCTATATTATACCAGCTTTTGCCCGCGACTTTGTCACGGTAGTGTTTAATAAAAATGTAATTCGTTTTACTCTCTTGTTCTAGGTATAGTATGTGTCAATTCTATCAATAAGATTCGAAATTTTATTTTAAAGAAATTAATTATATAAAGAATTGCTAATAATGCACTTCAGCGCGCCATCTCGGATTCAACTATTTAACTATAACGATGATTGAATCTCAATGCCAGCTTGTATCCTATAGAAAAGGGCTGTCTTTAGGGTTTTCCCGGCAATTATTTAAATTTTTCTCGCCATAAAAAACATCCTTGGACTTTAACGAACATTTAAAAAAAAGAATTGGCCAAATTGGTCTAAACGTTGTTAAGTTATGCGCGTACCAACAGATTTTGCGATTAATTTTTATATTATAGATTTATGTGATATTTTATTAAATTAAATTATTAAATTTGAATTATAACACTCTGTATTTATCAGATGTTAGGTTATGTATTACATGTTATGCATTTTACATCGCTCGTAAAGTTTACGACGCACGTCCTGTCCAGACCTGCAACTTCGTACGAGAGTCCTGCGGGGGCTTCAGCTACCACTCCAGTTAAATAACATTGTAAGTACGTTGAGATATCGGCAATTAGTAGTACCCGCCGGGCGCATTAAAAATTTAATTGGATAATTGCGGCTTTCGTTACGACATTGTTTTACAAAATTTATCTAAATAAATGTCAAAGAGTGTTTCGCATCCGACGCAGGTATTGAAATTTTAATATTTTAAGGGTTGGAATTAAGGGTGATTCTCGTTGAGAATTAGCAAGATAACGCGATAAATACCAGAACACGGAAGTATCGACAATCGCAGGACACGCACAATGTGAAAACACAAAGGATGTGGAAGGATAACAAAGATATCAAGGATACAAAAGCAATTTGTGAAAGGCCTATTCACGAAATGCTGTAGACAAATCAAATATTTTATGAGCCCAAGACAAACCCCATGAGAAGTGGGATAATACCGGATATAACCGGATAAATATAAAAAGAATTTTCTAAAAAATATCGAGGAAAAAGTTTGGTGGTGTTTAAAATATGTGAAATTTGTAATAATGCGAATTTATCGCTTGTCGCGCCTCAGGGTGTTTCGTGTTTGAACGTAATTTATGTTATTTTATATTATGCATACGCCTATTAACGAATTTAGCGAATTTACTTGTTTGGCATGGCGCCGGTTGCGCCTTCCGCGTTTCGAGTTTCGCTGTGCATGGGGAGTAGGAAAATTCGCGACGCCGAGGGGCGTTATTAATAATCGCGAACAAAGCGCCAGCTCCCTATCGCGTCCCGTTGCCTTTTACACCTTAATTTCCATTTTGTGTTCGTGAGTAAATATTATCTAAATATTTACCCAGCGCGCGGTAAAAACGACACTAATATTTATCAACGGGCATTAAATGTGTCGGAATCTGAATATATTTGATGTTGTTTTAA